CCCCCTCCCGGCCCGGCCCTCGGGGCCCGGGGGCCGCGCGGTGTCTTCCCGCTGCGCCGCCGCCGAGGTGGCGTGAGGCGGGGGTGGGAAAGGGACCCGGGAAGCCCTCCGCCTAAGGGGTCCCCGAGCCGGGGAGCCGCTAGTCCTCACTCCCGAGAGACAACCATTTTTTTTTTTTTTTTCTGAGGTGGGGCGCGCAGCCTAAGCAACCGTAGAGAAAAACGGAGGTGAAAAATTCCCGAGGCCGACACGTTTTCTGGTGGCCCAGAGCTCCGCGGGTGTCAGACGCTTTCTCTGAGCTAGACCTCGGAGACCAGCCCACCCGCTTGGACCTGGCCCTCCAGAGGGCTCTTGGTGAGCTTTTCCCACCCTCCTCATCATAAAGGGCCTCGCGGTTCAATGACGAGACTTTGCCTAAGAAAGATTTCCCCGGGGGAAACGCTGGAAACTTCGTGGTACCCTCATGCTTCCTCTACTACCTGCCTAAAGCCAGTCACTGTACCAGAGAAGAGGTGCTGAGCGGACCTGGGGGCACAGAGAGCTGGACCCTGAGTTGGAAAGCTCCAAGCTGCGCTATACCTCCCATTTGCTCCCTGCTGTGAAGATCTCCACTAACAAGGATTTGCTCCTTTGAGCTTTCTTCCTTCCCCCTAAATTCCATTTTTTCAGAGATGTGAAAATGTAGATTTAAAATATTTTAAAGGAATACACTTCTAAATGATAAGCTGTTGGTATCAAGAATGTAATGGAAGAATCAAGATTGAAAAGAAAGGAAAAAAAAAGCCACACAGTGCAAACCGTTGATATTGACACAGAGACCGTTGAGTGGATGAGCTGGTAAATGCCACCGTCCATCTCAAAGCTGTAGAAAACACACACTTAGGACTCGGCAGCTTCTAAAGCCCACCTCTTTCTGTTTGTCACTCAAACACTCTTGGATCTCATTGCTCCTTTTAAACTGACGGGGCTGTCGTGAGCTCTTTCTGGTTACTGTGTGGTTAAGTGACACAAGAGCCCTCTTTGCTGGGTCTTTGTTCTCTCCCTGGGGCCCTGTGGTTGAAATAATTAGCAGGGAGGTTCCATCAAGAATCACCGAGGGTCCCTGTACTGTACAGTCCTCTGTCGAGTGTACTGCAGAGAAACCAGCTGTTAGGCTTTTGCCCCCTGGTGGTGATCAAGAGTGCCTAAGAGACAAACATGAAAGATCTATGGTTCACAAACAATGTTTTCCCCAGAGCTCCCCAGCAAACAGGAAAGAAAAGGCAAGGTTCAGAAATAAGAACTTTGAACCAATACTTTAGAGACCAAACATAAAACTATGTAAAGAACCAAGAACTCTACATAGCTGAAAGATGAATGACCTCCAATGAATGTGTTTATAATCCAAAGGAGTATCAATAATTCTCAGTGGTTCATTCCCTTACTTACACGTGGTTGAAAACTTGGACTATCTTCTTCTACGTAGTAAGATACTCTAAAGAAATTCATCTTCAAGAGGAGAGGTTTGATTCCATTAACCTTACAGTGAGAAAGCACACTGCTGTGAGTCAGACCTTGCTTCTAGTTCCAGCTGTGTAAAACCTTATGCAAATGATGTGAACATTTTGAGCTGTAGTTCCTTATTCTCTGTGATGAAACTCAAGCTCACAGGGACTTTCATAATCAAATGAGATAATGTATGTAAATTAAAAGGTCCTACATGCAATTAAGATAAGTCTCTATTCTCTGTAGTGTGTTGTGTTCTGAGTTCAGAGAGGCCTTGTTGAGTGTATCCTATATGCAGGAAATACCTTCAAGCAAAAGAAAAATATTAAAAGATATGATTCATGCTTTATCTAAACTGTAGGTTAGTGGTCAAGATACATATCTGTGGGTAAGTGTAGAACATTTTTGTTTGGCATATCTAAGGTGATGAAATTGAGTTATATAATATTCAAATTTGCACTGTTTATATCAGGAAGTTGATTTATTAACATATAAAGGAAATATATCTTCGTGTCATATTAGAAACTGAGATCTGAAAAATTATTGCTGCATGTTTATTAACTTAATTGAGAGAATGTTGAGTGCATGTTGTATACTAGGTATTCTTTTTTATTTCTGTGTCTATGCATGTGTGTTGGAAACGTGTGTGAGTGTAAATAAAGATGGATGTGTCTATGCATACATGTGTAGAGGACTGAGGTCATTGTCAGGTGTCAAACTTTTTTCCCTTCCTCTCACGGGACCTGGAACTTGTCAATTCAGCTATCCTGGCTGGCTAGCAAGCCCCTGACCTGCTTGTCATTGCTTTCTAAGGCACAGGGATTATAGATGTGTTGTCAACACTAGCTTTTTAAAAATAGTCTATTTTGCTTTTTTTTATATTATATGTGGAATGGGGGGCATGCACATGTCATGGTTCACGCGTGGAGGTTGGAGAACAACTGATGGATATAGTCCTCTCCTTCCACAATGAGGATCATGGATATCCAGCTCAGATCATCAGGCTAGATGGCAGGTTCTGTTACCCACTCAACCATCCTCACTGGTCCCCCATGCCTATATTAAGGACAAAATAGAAGAAGTGTCTCAAGGAGCCCATAGCCTCTGGTCAAGGAGATGTGTATGCATCAACAAATAATTAAAGTATACTGTAGTGCTACTATGGATTCAGTCATCTTTTCTAGACTCCAAGGAAATTAACTTTCAGGCTTTGGCTACAGATTTCAAGATAGCTCCTTTTTTGTTTTGTTTGTTTGTTTTTGTTTTTTGAGACAGGGTTTCTCTGTGTAGCACTGGCTGTCCTGGAACTTGCTCTGTAGACCTGGCTGGCTTCTAATTCACAGAGATCCACCTGCCTCTGCCTCCTGAGTGCTGGAATTAAAGGCATGCACCACTACCACCCTTGATAGCTCCTTTTTGAATTGGGCTGGATTATAGAGAAGAAATCTATTTCACTGTCATTTTTTCCTGTTCTTCTCTGTGATCCAGATTCCTGCTGTTTCTTCTGGTGATCTGAGAGGTGGTATCTATTATGAATATCCCCAAACTCCTGGCTATACCAACTTAATTTGTTTCTCTCTTTCTCTGTCTCTCTGTCTCTCTGTCTCTCTGTCTCTGTCTCTCTCTGTCTCTCTCTGTCTCTCTCTGTCTCTCTCTCTCTCTCTCTCTCTCTCTCTCTGTGTGTGTGTGTGTGTGTGTGTGTGTGTGTGTATGTGTGTGTCTCGTGGTCTCCTGTGCCTAGGCTGGTCTCACACTTGCCATATAGCAGAGATTAACCTTGAATTCCTGATCCTCTTGCCTCTGCTTCACAAGTGCTGGGACTGTGTATATGCATTACCAAGTTGGGCAGTGGTACCTTAATTTGAAAAGGGAAAAGCCAAGAGTAGAAGTCTCAACAGAGCCAAAGAGACGGGAGCCCCAGTTCTACTTACAGCTCCTCCACTCTTCCCATTCATGGTACTGGAGGGCTGATTGTGCCTGTGGAGTCCATCTCACCATGAGTGAAATCATAGGGTACTTGAAATTCCTGAAGTCAACTGGTTCTTACACTTTGAAAGTGATTGACCTTTTCTACAGAAAGATACTTCTCCATATTTCACACAGCCACTTCATTTCACGAAGGACCTCAGGTTAAGAAGCAATGGTTCTTAGCCTTTTTTCTTCACATCCTGACAGCCTTAGAAATAACATTTGTATGACACACTGGGTAAGTTAAAAAGATTTAAAGACATGGCATTTGGGGAAATTTAATTTCTTTATATCATATACTTTAAGAAACAACAGCAATAACAAAAACACATATTGCCGGGCGGTGGTGGCGCACGCCTTTAATCCCAGCACTCGGGAGGCAGAGGCAGGCGGATCTCTGTGAGTTCGAGGCCAGCCTGGGCTACCAAGT